AGTGAGTTAATATAGATGAGAAACAAAGTTGGGCCCAAAATTGAACCTTGAGGTACCCCACATGAGATGTGTTGTTCAGAACTTTTCATCCCATCCATAGAAACATACTGTCTACGGTCATTTAAGTAATTTCTAAACCACTCCAAACAATTATCTTTGATTCCTATTCTCTTAAGCTTTTCTAAGAGAATATTATGGTTTACTGTATCAAATGCCTTGCATAGGTCAAGTGACACAATGACACATTTTTATTTTTATCTATATTCTCTTGAATGTTAGTTATCATATCTACTGCAGCTGAGGAAGTGTCACTTGACTTACGGAAGCCATATTGATATTTATAAAGATAGTTTATATTAGTTAAGAAATCACTGAGTTGAGAATTCACAATCTTTTCAAAAATTTTAGATATTATAAATAAAACAGATATAGGTCTATAATTGTTAAGCAAACCTTTGTCACCTCCTTTAAATAGGGGTGTTACCCTATCGTTGATGCGGCAGTTTAAAACATAAAGCTATAGAAAAAACTATATAAAGAAAACGTTTCAGTATTGTTTCTAACAATTTTTTTTGATATGCAAATATTGAAACGTTAACCTTGAAATTTTAATACCCTTGTGGCAGTTGAAAAAGTAAAAATTCGGAATATGTCATTTAACAAAAAATGCTAGCTTTTCTGTTCCGAACAAGTTTAAAATTTGCAGAATTTGAAATTCACAAAATTAAAAATTCGAAAATTAACTGTCACTGTGGCAGTTCAAAACAAAAAAATATAGTTTTTCGTCAAATAAAAAAAAGTTTGTTTTTCGGTTTTGCAACTTTTTCAAAGTTACAAATTCTTATTTTCGAAAACCACCAATATCGGCCCCCCTATTACCTATATATTTACCGCATTAAACTATCTAGGTACTGCTTACAAAAACCCTGGCCTATTTGCAAGGCAGCAATATTTAGCCAATATGATTAAAAATTATTTAAATTGGCAACACCTAAGCCATTTGAAGTTTTAAAATCCATTGATCTTTTGCTGGGTTTTCAATCTGGGGAAAACTGTGACCGAACGGCATATTTTTATAAGTAAATGATAAATGATAACTTTTTAGGAATGTTTTTCTTTAATTAATACATGAGTACATAACTAATAGTTACACATCGATAATTTATTGTTTTAGAAATTTAAAATGTAGATCGTGCGGAGTAGACATAACAAAAATCTGTGACATGTAAATGTTTTATCACGCAGTTATCCGTAATATATTGTCTTCGAAATAGTTTTTACAGTAAAAACAAACGGTCCTGCAATTACTGTGCGAATACCATAATAAAAGAATAATTGCAACCCATAGTCATGGAACGTAAATACGTGTAGGTAAGTATAGATCACGTGACAGTTTTTAACCGAAAATCTAATAAAAATCAACCTTACGTAAAAATTATATGATTGTACAATACTACCTAGCTTAATTATTTACCAAAAAATGTATTGTCTTTTTCGCTATTTAATATCAAATCAAAAGTAAACGATTGCTTAATCCGACACTTCAAGTTTGTAAAGAATTTTTCGGGTTGTAAACATAATATACAGTACAGGGTGTCTCAAATTGATATGTTTTGTAGGGTATTCTTAAAACTATGGAAGATAGAAAAAAGTTGTTAAGATCATAGGTATATTCAATCAATTGCTTCCTTTATTTTCAGGCTACAGGGTGTTTATTGAAAACTGTCAAAAACTACAAGATTCTAAATATAACTTCTTAAGAAATATAATCAAAAACTTTATATGAAATTTTGATAGATATATTATGGAAGAATTCAGTGGGGTACAAACATTTTTTTTTGAGTCTCACTAAATAAATATATTATACAAACTTATGTTCTCTTAATTTTGAAATTTTTCGTTTCCATTTCTAATTCTCTTTTACCTGATGTGACATATATTACATAACCATTTTCAGTTGTATTTTTCAATAATCGCCCTGTATCTCGCAAATGAAGGGAGCTATTACAGATTTCATTAGGAAATTGTTACTTCGAAAAAAAAACTTTTTTCTAGTTTACGGGATACCCTGTAAAATATACCAATTTAAGACAATATATACAGTATGTTAATTTCCCACAATGACGCCAGAAGGCCTGTATATAATGATGCATTGATTGGACCGAGGTAGAATAGTGCGCGACAGTCCACTACTGGTAGAGGTGTACCTATCCATATGTCCAATTACAGTAGACTGTCATTCAATTCACGTGCAAATATAATTAAGAGTCTCGTTTTTATTTTGAAGGATATCTTCTTGTGTCAAAAATGTTCTTTATGATTTCTCTCTAAAAGATGGCGTATCAGAGTCTAAATCTAGTGACATCCTAGGTCATAGGTTTGAATAACACCAGTTTTGAGATGCTTTCTGGTTAATATTCCATTTAAGTTCTGATTAACAGCGCTATATATAGGCTATTTCACTGATTATGGCGTGTATGTCACTAGTAACATACAAAATAAGTATACATACAGCATGGCCAGTGACGGCTCCAGATGTACACGTTTCCACTAAATCAACATATGTTCGTTTTTTCTGCTGTGTACTATAGGATATTATCCTAGAATAGAATAATCAGGATTTAAAGAGAAATCGGTTAAAACTTGTTTCTTTTCTTTTTAAACTTAAAAAAAAATATTTTTTGATTAAATGGATGATTTAAGAAACGCATGTTTAAGAACCCAATGGAAGACTAAAAAATTTCTGAATACTAAATTTGAAAAAATCATTAATTCTATTAGTTTTGTTATTTGTTTTGTAATAGGATTAATTGATTTTTTATCGAGGAAACTGTCTAGTAATAAAAACACATGAACAATGAATGTAACTAACGCCAAATACTAAAAATTCATTGTAAAATCGGGAATTACATAAGCTTGCAAAATCCAAATCTATTCACCCAAATTCACAACCGTACGTTTATTGTCTTATGGGTCGCAAGAAAATTGCACTTGTTTTAGATAAATAATCCAAACTGATGTAAGTATACTTATTCTATAAAATATATAATTTTCTAAGTATCTATGTAAATTTCACAGTAAAATATACGTATGAAAATTTAAAAGCAAGTTGTACATGCGTTAATTTCTGAGTAAAATGTACATTATGCAAATCGTAATTATGTACCTCAGAGGCAAATTATGTTAAGTCAAAATTTAGCCAAAATGTGATAAAGATGTTAAGTCTACATACTATTGAGAATCTTCATGTTGCTAGTTTCAGTTTTGAGCTATCTCGGCCCCTTAAGAATTTAGCAATTTATCAAATGTGTTAAGTCACTGTCCGATTGTATACCAAAAAATCTTTAAACCGTTATTCTGTGAAATCGAATTTTTTGACAACATAGTTTACCGCTGAGGTACAGAGTTGTGAGACACTTTATGATGGCTTTCGGCTAAATTTTTATTAAGCCAAATCTGATATTTTAAAAGAACGAAAAAAAAATGATTTAGACTAGTTTTACGCACATCATTTGCCAATTTTATACTTTACTTATGGAAAAAATTTTTTGGAGGTACTTTTCAATTATTTCAGTACTTTCACATAACGTTAGTATTAACAAAATAAGGCAATTATAACGATTAAAAAGATTATTTCGAATTAACAATTTGTTGATTTCGTTCAAATGAAGATTGGCAAAAGCAAGAAAAAGCAAGCAAAAACCTCATTTGTGGAACACAGACCATCGTCTTCTAAGGGTCTCATTGATAATGTCGCGTAAAAGCCAACCCTGTGCTTTGTTTACTCCTTGCCCGCGGTATGAAGTCTGACGGCGCTGGCAATATAGAGACAAACGCGCTGCTTCGGGAAACACTACCGTATGAGTCATAGAAAGGCAGTTCTTGATCGTTCTGGAAATCCTAGAGCGTTCTAGTACAGAGTTGGCTTTATATAAATAGCGCAAGTTGTAGACGGACATGCAGATTGAATTTAAGTGTTTGACAGAAAAGATGAATTGTAATAAATAAAATAGAATTATGAGTTATAATAGTATTATATAAATTAATTAGTACGTCATAAATAAATTGTAGATAGTGTGTTTTAAATAAATAAACTATAAATAAATTAAACAAACATTACATTGGTGTTAGAAGTGGAACTGTAAATAAATAGTGGACAAAAATGGCTAAAAAACTATGTGATTTAAAAGTGGCTGAATTGCGTCGAGAATAGGAAGATCGTGTTCAGGAGACGACAGGGAAGAAAGCAGAGATTACAGAACGGCTTAAAGAAGCAATGAAAAACGAAGGTTTGGATCCGGAAACGTTTCTATTTTCGGATGATGCGTCTTCTATAATTTCTTCGTTAGAAAGTCAAATGTCAATTATGAAAACCGGTATTTCTTCTAACATTTCTTCATTAGAAACTAAAGTTTCTTCTGGCATTACATTCTTAGAAAGCAAAGTTTCGACATATCTTCTTTAAAATCCGAAATTTCTTCTTCCGAAAGCAAAATGTCTTCTATGGAAAATAAATCATTGTCTAATATTTCTTCCTTTGAAAAAAAGATGTCTTCCGAAATGTCTTCTTTAAAAGATGAAATCTCTTCTGATATGATTGTAAATAGTGTGTTTTAAATAAATAAACTATAAATAAATTAAACAAACGTTACAATAAAAAAAATTGTTTATATGCAAGAAGAGTATGTAGGGTTAACCAACGAGGAGTTTTTATTGCATTTAAATTTGTCTGTTAAATTAACGACTGTACTTAAAATAAAAAATAAATAATGAACTAAATTAGAATGTTCTTATTACCCATAGTTACCTAATTGTAAATGTACAGTAAGTCATTAAAGAACAAGTACGTAGGTACGAAGTAACTGAGAAATTGACTAATAAAACAAATTTAGTGCAGTTATCCAACACTTCTATCTTCGCGCTTCGAGGGGGCAATATTGCACCATCAGGAGCGTTTTCCGCTGAAGATACACTTGTAGGTGTTTACCAGAGTGTGACTCCAGCTCTCAAAATAATTCTTTTTGCTAGAAACTTTCAGTCTTTTACTCTCTCCTATTTGTTATTGTTGTTTCACCCATTGTTTAGATATACCGTGCGTGTTGCTAATTCTGCTACCCTGGCGATTTCGACTTGTTTTTAGTCATTCAAGTGAAATCGGGAAGGAAATTGATTGAAATAACTGATGTTTTGAACGAGAAATATTCAAAATATACATATTTGTTTGTGTTATTTAAATTTTTATTTGGAGATATGTAAGGGTAAGTTTTGAATAAACTCGAATTAGAAATAATATAATAAGGAAAAATTTTGCCATCTGATGTCCAAATCTTTAACTAGGACTCAGGACAAATAGTTTTATGCATTCTTCAAAAAAGCGTATAATATATGATATATACAGGATGTCTGTAAAAGATCTTTACAAAAACATATCACATATTTTCAAGACCAAAATAAGCCGAAGTAAGTAAATTCATCAGTTCAAAAATGCCCAGTTTGGGCGCTAGACGGCCCTGAAATTACAATTTTTAAATCATTTCTCTATTATAAATTTAAAACGGCTTAGCGATTCTACTTAAATTTGGTACGTTGACAGAGTTTTACGTAACAAGAAAAAATTTATCAACATTAGGACTAATATGAATCCACAGGCGTAGTAATTGATTTTTTTCAATGATTGCACATTAAAAATGTCTAAGCCAATGGAAGAAAAAGGGAATGAGTATGAAATTTGGATTGCGTGACTCATTTATTACAAAAAATTACTCTTGATTTATGGTTTTGGCGAAATTTGTATTTTAATAATTTGTAGTGTAGGTTTCACAAAACAAATTATTCACTAAAAGATGAATACAAACAACATAGATTTCATTATATAACAATAATAATACTCTACTTAATTCACCCCCTTACGAGTGAAGTTCAACCCCAGAAGCTGAGCTTGTCCGGGTATTATTATTATTATTATTATTATTTGCCGTGGCGCTCCGGGGCGACTTAAAGATAATTGATGGTGCAATTTGACTTAAAGGTGAGGAAAAGTGCCAGTGTAGTTCAAAGAGAGCTCCCGGGGATTCTCATAGCAGTAAAATAAATCACCAGAAACAATATAACTGGAAGGAACATGATCATCTATACAAATAGCAGACAACCACGAATTTATTCAGGGTTAGTACCAGAATGTCACGAAGTTTTGGCCGAAGTATCCATCAACAACGTGGTCACCTTAAGATGGATCAAAGGTCACGCCACATCGAAAGGTAACCGTCTTGCTGATTCACTGGCCAAGAAAGCAGCAAACCAAATACTTTTTGGACCTGGCCCTTCTATTGGCCTGATAAAATCGGTAGTGACAGACCTAATTAAAGAACATTCCCTTGTGAAATTCAAGGGATGATGGGATGAAAACAAGAAGATGAGACCATCGAGCATATCCTCTACGATTGCTGACGCTTTCATTTATAAGGAGATTTGTGTTCGGCGAGTATCGGCTACCACCGGCCGATATAAGAGAAGCACCTCTTGGCGACGTTGTCAACTACATTAAATCTGTAGGCTGGCTCACGAGCCAGGAGGTGCCTATCATCTTAGGAGGATGCACAATGGGCCTAGTGAGGCCTAAGTGCTGTGGGCGTAACCGACCCTACACACGTTACAGATACAGACAAAAGGTGAGGAAAATCAAGAAACCTCACCCACCATCATGGAGTTAGAAGGTCGAGAGATGCTTATAGCGATCTTTTTCAAACATTCAAAACGGTATTACTGGGTGTGGCTTATGTAGATATAGCGAGTAACTTTGCAAACATTATTTACATAAAATAAAAGAAATTTAAAAAAATAACTAATATACCTAACCTGCACGGCCTTCAGCCATCGCGAGTAGGTTCGCAATAATTTTTTACATAAAATGACAAAAATTAAAAAAAAGCTAACCTAACCTGTGCGGCCTTGAACTATTAAATTTTTTTAACCAACTTTGACAAAAATTAAATCTTTTTTCAATTAGTTTTATTTCAATAAACATTTTACCGATCAAACGGAGCAATTTTTAAGTACATTATATCAATAGCTCTATTTTCCTACAAATTTGACTTACATAGCTAAAAAAAAGACACATACCATATAATACCATAGTGTGTATAAATAATTATTGAAAATAAGCGAACACTTTCGGCTTTACAAAGCCATGTTCGAAATTCACTACATTTGTGTAGGAGGATATTTTTTCAAATTAAATATTCGAACAAAATGAGTTCAAAATAAATAACTTTCTAACAAAATGTTTTCAAACTAAAATAACTTTTGAACAAAATGTTTTCGAACAAAAAGATTCGAACAAAAATTTTCGTCAAAATTTTACGACCCGGAAAATTCATTTTGGAAAGTGATATAGCAATGGAAAACTTAATAAACCTCAGAAAAGACAATAGTAATGATACCAGTAGTTATAGTGAAGACAGTGACTTTTAAAGATAGTTCTTGAACATTTTTAATCTTTGATTTTAGGTACTATAGTGTTACTTTTAATGCCAATAGATTAATAAAAGTTTAATCCCATTAACAACATATAATCCTCCTTGTTATTTATTGGTTAAATTTAATTCGTTCATTGTTAAAGTGCAACAATTTTGTCAGCAGATTTATTTTTATTTTTTGTAGATAATATAACTTTTTTTCATTCAAAATTTAATCTACGAAGTGCGTATATATATATTTTAAATGCCATGACCTTATTTATATTATTGAAATTTATTTTGCAAAGTACGCCTATGGAATGTGACGTTATATTCCCAATTTTACTGCACTACTCTTTTATTCCAACTATATCACATTTTTTATTTTAGTTAGTTGCAGCTTAATTAATAGTACTCTATTATCGTTATACAAGGAATGCAACAAAACTGTGCAATTTGCAAATATATTTTTATTTATAAATGACTTGTAACACTGAAGATACTAAATATTCTACTGAAATAAGGTAGATAATTTAAAATAACTGCTCCTTCTTATTACTTGCTCACATTGACGATAAACGCCAAAAAAAAACAACCATAGAGGAATACTGTAAGATCTCTTCATTTTTTTATCACTAAATGAAAATATGTGTAGGTGTTTTTGGTATGCACACAAATAACCTTTTTTAATTAGCCATATAGCCAGCAATATATTTTTAAGTCCTGATAGCGTGGGATTTAGTAAATATGCTCAGTATCGCCTAGCGTCGAGCAGTAGCCCACTATCGTAACTTTCTGATAAGCCTTTCTATAGCCTCTTGAAGATTCGTTGATTTGACAAACAGGATATTTTAAAATTCGAAGCTGTTCAAGAGGTACACTTTCGCGTACTTCGACATAATATACCTACTAACATTTTTTGTACGCTGCAGACTTAGGAGAGCTCATTTCTCTCAGGATTTTGTTGACAAATATCATACGTCAACGTGAAAACAGTATTTTTAAAGCCAGTAAGAACTAAAATTCTTAGGAGAATTTTAATTTTCTCATTGACTTTAAAAATATTTGAAGTGTGATATTTATCATAAAAATCTTGAGAAATCATTTTCTTTCGAGTTTAAACATAAACAGAATTTTCCGGGCGGCGGAGGGGTTATTGTTGTGGCTTTTATGTGAGCGAATACAATATTTATTCATGTAATTAGGCCGAAAGGCTTGTCCTAATAAGAAAATGAATAAATAAACAATCAAGGAAAACATTTGGCACATTGCTAAAACTGTAAATGTCAGTCGGTGTTTAAAATTAAAATACCACATCTACGTGTGTTTTTAAGGCACTTATATATTTATCCATGTTATTTAAGAAAATGTCTATTCATTAATTTTTTTAAAGACAAATGCTTTTTGTATTATGAAACTGAAGTAAATTTCTAGAATTTAAGATATCAAAGAGAATCTTTTTTATTCTTTTAAATTTAATTTGTTGCACCTGCTTCAGAAAATTCTCCCTCAAAGCACAATTAATATCACAATTTCCCAAATATTGCCCTACACTTTGTTTATTATGTTGTATATTTAGTTGTGGAATATTATTTCAGATAATTTCTTCGTATATCTGTTATAGGCTGTGCTACAACTATGCTAAGCACAAGCGAGTAATGTTCAACTTTTAATATGTATAATATATTTAGTTTGCAAATGACATAAAAATTAAAAAACCTTGATTGAAACCAGGATTAGCTGTTTGACAGATTCGTAAACACAATATGACGGAAGTGAACCTCTCTTAGACCATGTGACGGCGTCTCCCTACCTTCTACCTCCATGCCTTCCATCTCCGAAATGGTAACGCATGGCGATTTTTAATCAGGATATCATATTAACGTAAATTAAATTACTGTTATTATTAGTTAAGCAATTCAAATTTAATATTTAAATTTCATTTCTTCCAATTTTTAATGTGCAATTATTCAAAAATCAAGTTCTACGTCCATGGATTAATGTTAATCACTTAGATAAAAGAAACAAGTTAATCATAATTTTGATAGGCTTTTGTTAGTTACACAAAACTCTGTCAAGGTACAAAATTTAAGCAGAAACACATAAGCCGTTTTAAATTTATAAAGGAGAAACTATTTTAAAATTGGACCTTCAGGGCCGTCTAGCGCCCAAACTCAGCAACTTTTTACTAAGGTGAGTTTACCTAAATCGGCTTATTTGTTTCAAAGGAATATGCGGGGTAGGGTTTTGTAAAGACCTTTTCCACTAGTATGTTTAAAAATGTACTTTTAGGAACAACCGTGTTATAACTTAAATGAAAAATGTCAAAAAATCCATACCAAAATATTTTAACATTCCATAATGTTTCCGCAAGTACAACTCGAAATAGAATGACAACACCAAAATGTGGTTCAAGTCTAAATTCAAACTAACAGTATTATTATTTATAACAATTCTAAAAGAAATAACTGGTGAAAGAGAATGCCCACCACAAGAAGCCATATTGCCTTGCAGATGCCTTGTCAGAGGCAAAGAATATCAAATATGGTAAGTGCCTTAAAACAGAAAATTTTGGCAAGTTTTCCTGTCCAATATATCAGTCTCAAACTTATTTTTTAGGTGTTCTCACAGCAATTTAGCCAGTGTTCTAGAAGGTCTAAAATCTATTGGAGAACACATAACGACTCCAATTGACGAATTAATCTTAGAAAATAACTACTTACCTTCTCTACCAGGTCGTTCTTTTGCATCCTTAAAAATCCTGCGTCTCATGTTGAGATACAATACTTTAGAAAGAGTGTCTAATGATTGGTTAGCTGGTCTGGAAACAAGCTTAATGGAACTATTTATAGTAGAGCCTAAGCTTAACAGCCTACCACAGATGTCCATTGAGCCATTAAAAAATTTAAAAGCTGTAACTTTAAGATCTAAATTGTTAAAAAGATTGCCCCTGTTTTCAGGCTTACCACTTCTAAGATACGTACAAATTGAATCGTCTTCACTCATTGAGATAACTCCATCTAATTTTAAAGATACTCCTTCTTTGGAAAAAATTCATATTCAGTTCTGTCCTAGACTAAATAGGCTCGAGGCTAATCTATTTGAAAACTTACCTAAATTAGATCTCATAAACATAACTCACTGTGGTCTAAACTGGATACATCCCAGGACATTCAGTAGACTGCCTGCTTTAAAAGAACTTTCTTTAATTGGAAATAAAATTACTGATCCTGGTATGATTGGAAGAGCAAGTAGGGAGCTACCTGAGCTAGAAATTCTCAGGCTCGATTTTAATTATATTGGAACGTTAAACGAGGCTACTTTTGTAGACATGCCTGCTGTAAAGAATATTCATTTATCAAATAATGTTATTGGTGAAATAAGAAAGGGGGCGTTTCATAGGTTAACTTCTCTAAAAACCTTAGATTTAAGCAAAAACATGTTAAGAAGAATTCAAAGGCAAAGTTTTTTGCAACCTATTTCTTTAGAGGAGCTCAATTTGAAACACAATGATATAACCGACGTGATCCAATTCAGATCCGTTTTAGAAGATTTGCCAAAACTGGTCTATCTAGATCTGAGCTACAATAAATTAGACTCAATACCATTTGGTTCATTGATAGGTCATTCTACTTTGGAGCAATTGAACTTAGGCTACAATAGATTGCATCATGTAGATAAAGAAGCTTTTATACTTATGCCAGCTTTAAGGGAACTTACTTTAACGAATAATTCGGTCATTGATAATATAAGAGTACCTTTTTGGAATCTACCAGCACTGAAAGGATTAGATATATCCAAGAACTACCTTAGAAGACTAGAACATAGCTTTTTAGATAATATAGGAATGCTGAGAAAAGCCGATTTAAGTTTAAATCATTTAAGCTTTATAGACCCAGAATCATTTTTAGCAACACCACTTCTGGAACACATCAATATATCCTCGAATAGTCTAAAAATGCTACATCCTGCTACATTTAGACATTTAACGCAATTATATGAACTAGATGTTAGTAGAAATTACTTAAAAAATCTTGTACCTGGTTTACCAGGTAATATTGAACATCTACATTTACGTCAAAATGAGATTACTAAAATTTCTGCTGAAGATTTACTTTTACCATCTCTAAGGTTATTAGATTTAAGTCAAAATAGAATCCAAAGTCTGGAGGAGGGGCATTTAAGATCTCTCGGCCGGTTGAGAAAATTGTATTTGAGTAAGTAAAAATTTTTTTTTAATTTAAATATAAATGTAAATATATGTTATAAAATGAAGAAAATAAAATCTCAAAGAACACTGACACAATAAAGCAACTACTATTTTTATTAATATCGCATTAGGCATTAAATAGCTCGGACATGACTTTGGTCACATTTGTGTTTTGAATTATTTTCTATTTTTATTGGTTCTCTGTTTGATACTACAGGAATTAAATTAATAACTAAGTTATTTTAAATAATTGATCTTTCGATTTGGTATTATTTATAAGTGAAAGCAAAAGTTTAATAACTCTAATGCCATTTCTCATTTTGCTTTGGTAGGTACTAGCGATATGTAATTTTAATAACAGTGTTTTATAAAATAACAATTTAATATAATTATATTACTTCGATAAAATCACAGTTATTTTTATAATCTTACGATTAAAGGAGATTTAAATGAAAGCACAAAATTTCCATAAAAAATTGCAATAAATTAATAGTTATTTTGAAAATTTACACTTTCTTATGGAATTTCAGCCCAAATGTATTTGAAATATGAATGTATCAAAGGGCCAGGCCAAGCCTGATTTTTTTGGTCATTTGCAGTGGTCGATTTCCTGAACAATGGGCACAATCAAATCACTAGTTTTTAATATACTGAGCGTTGATATACAGAATGTAATTTATTATTAGTTACAGGGTGAATTAAAAATTATACTGAAAATTAAATTTGTCTTATTACTCTTTCATGGGATTTTTTCAACAAATTAATATCACACTGAAATGCCCTAGATTTAAATAATCAAAATGGGAAACATATCACATTTTATACAGAGCGAATCAAAAAGTTGGTAGACCTTATTTACTATTATTAATAAAATGTTATCTATTTTTATCGCATGTTAAGGGCGAGCAGAAGTCGAGAGAGGTCTCCTCTTAAAAAGAGACCATATAAAGATAAAATATAATTTCTACAGTTTCATATCTCGAAGTAAAAAGTTTTATTTTAAATTCAAGAAATGGACTAGGTTCCATTTATTTGAAAACATCGACAATACAGTTGAATAAATATGGACATTTTAGCGTATTATTAAATATTCTCATGAATCGTAGTCATCATTATTTGCCCATTGAATGTTATACTATAACACAATTGGTTCAAAAAACCATGAACTTTACTTAAAATTGATTTATTTTTAGAATCTAACTTTCTACGACATTTGGCAGAACGGTCCTTGGATGGATTGTTGCAATTAGAAATTTTGGACATTAGTGACAATCGTCTGTCCGAAATAAATCCCATTTCGATGAGGTCCATAAGTGAATTGAAGACGTTAAATATAGCCAACAACGAGCTAACCTTGATAGGCCCAGCTTTGTTGAACAATGCTAAAAATTTACGGAAATTTAACGCCAGTCAAAATCAGTTAGCCGAAATTTTACCCGGTACTTTCGATGGTAATTATAAAACTATTATTTTATGACATTAAATGATTTTATACTCTTCGTACAATAAATTGTACACTCAATATATTAGCACTAAATTATTACTATATTTGCACAATATTAGCACTATATTAGCGTTATTTAAGCACTAGATTGGCACTATATTAGTATTATATTAGCACTATATTAGCACTATATTAGTACTATATTAGTACTATATTAGTACTATATTAGTACTACTATTAAGAGAGAGAGTACGAGGCAAATCAACAGCCGCCAACTTTTTAAAGTTTCTACAGTCAAAGGAAAAAATACCAATATCAATAAAATATATTGTGTATCATATTTCTCCTTATTAAGTGTATGTCAATATTAAAATTAACCTTAATCTGAAGAAAGCACCAGGCTTCGACAAATCATGGTCCTGCATGCTGGAAAGTTACAGAGGTAGTTATGTTGTCAAAGCCAAGAAGTCTGACGACAATAAGTCTTATTGGCCTGTTTGATTCTTACCAATTGTGTCAATACTATTTGAAAACTTACTGGACCTCAACATAGAATCGTAGATGTCATAGAGCATGACCTTGAAGGAAAACAACTCTGCTCTACAATTGCCCAAGCGTTTAGGTGTGGTGTGAACGTTTGGTTCATAAACTAAAAAAAAAATGCTCCCGAAGCAAGAGTTTATAACATTATATGAGTATACCTCAGACAGGCGTTTCAGGGCCAAGCAGAAATACGAATGTTCTACTTATAGAGTGCCTCAAGGAAGTGCTCTTTGGCCTATTGTATACTTAGTCTACACTAGTGACTTGCCAACTTTGGATGCCAGTCTCTGATGATACTGCTTTCCTTGTAGTTGATCAGGAATCAAGACCAAGAAAGATCAGTAAGAAAACTTCAAACTGCTAGAAGTTCTCTAGTTAGATGGATCAATCATTGGAGAATTAGGCTTAATGAACTGAAGTCTATTCATGTGAAAAAATAACAGAAACTCTCTTTCTAAATATTCTAAATAATAACGAGAAGAATGTAGCTCATGAGCTGAATGCAAGGTGAAAAAATTGTGTCAAGTCGCCTCCTTCTCTCTAGTACTTCATAAACACTACTTATATCCTTTAAACGAAGAAACTGTTCTAAAAAATTACGCTTCATTATTTTTTTAGCTAATCTTAGTATTGAAGAAATCGATCTATCCAAAAATCTTTTGGTACAATTTCCAGAAACTATCTATGGTTTGGCAAAACTAAAACGGCTTGATTTAAGCCGAAACAGACTTAAAAGCCTCAACGCTACTATCATATCTAGTCTAGTCAACTTAAGAGAAATAAAACTAAGCAAAAATTTTATTCAAATTTTAGAAGCCGACACTTTTAATCATTTAAAATACCTTAAAACGATATTTTTAGATGATAACGATATAATGCTAATAGAATCAAATGCAATAAAAATGTTACCAGTGCTGAAATTAATAAAACTTGACAAAAATAAGATTGAGCAACTTCCAACTCACGCATTTAATACTCTATTGTCACTTCAAAATATAGAGTTACAAGAAAATAATTTAAGATATATGGATACTCAGGCTTTTCATCTGGTACCTCAGCTCTTAACTCTAAATTTAAGCTACAACGAAATATTTAAAATGGAAGACGTTGGTTTAAAAAATCTAAGATCCCTAGAACTCCTGGATATGAGTTTCAATAAAATTACAACAATGAGTCCAAATTTGGATGACCTTGAGTGGCTGGTTGAGCTGAGATTAAAGAACAATTTCATATGCGAAGTAGAAGAAGGCGTTTTTGGAAATATGCCTAGGTTAAAAGTGTTGGATTTGCGAAATAACAAGTTGGTGAGTTTTCCTGAAGTTGCAGTAGAAAGACTGAGAGAAAATACTGCTCAGTTAGATGTTACAGGTAAGCAATTTTTGACTTTATTACTAAAACAAAAATATACGCTGTCTGTTCCATTATTTTACTTTCCACTAAGCAATATTGCCAAAGTTGTATTAATATATTCTTAGTGCTTACTTTCCTAATAATAATGTTTTAATTTCCTAATTAATAACTTAGAATATTCGACTAAAGCAATGTATTTTTAACAAATTCCAAAATTTCTAATTGTACAGATTGTAGCTATAATCTGTTCAACTTTTTGTAGGCAATCCATTAGATTGTTCTTGTGACATGTTATGGCTCAAATCTTGGCTCAGAGAAGCTTCACAAACTAGTCCAAGATGTTCAGATGGGACCCTTCTCAGAGAAATGCCTTTATCGCCCCGTGACTGTCCTACAGAAAGGCAAAGAGACAGATCATTTACAGGCTGTAATACTGAACTTCTCAACGCACCAAATTTTCAAAATCCTCAACTGCTATCAAAATACGCCACTTTGAGAAACTTTAGTCTAAATGGGAAAAACAATGTAGCACCTAATCCTCAAGAATCTGAATATTTTTATGATGATTATATTGATTATCCTTTTAATGCCACCGTTGTGGATCCCAGTGGATATTTAACGGAGAAAATTAAGAATAAGGACAATTTTAAAAATGCCGAGAAGATTCCTATTATTACAAAACAAGCTGGAGGCAATGCAACTGGTAAGAGAAGCAATTAATCAAATTTGAAATCACTACATTTCAATTTTTAGGTAACACTCCTGTACTATATGCGGCATCATCAAAGAAGCAAAAACCAGATATACCAGCGAAAGTAACACATTCCCCAAGTACAAGTGGTTTCACTTTTTTCGGTATTCCCCTTCCTCCTCTTAATTTAAACAATATTTTTGGAAAAAAAGGCGACCAGCCTTCCGTGCAACAAGCTGAAAGAAAAACTGCCATTATGAATAACCCCAGAAAGGACAAAAGACAGCCAACTCCGAAAGCGGGAGAAAGAAAACCTACACTACAGTTTCAAGTAGGAAGACTTCAACCTCCTCCTCCTCCAATAGATTTAGAAAGGGAAAGACTTCGGCCTCATTCTATGCCAGCGTTGGAAGGAGGTTTTATGCCGATTTTACCAGGATATGGTGGATTTAAACCGATTCCAGATCCTAGTTTATTGATTACTAGTACAATTTCTACGACTATTGTTAACCATAAACTGTCAGAAGAAAACATACAGATACCTTTTAAAGAAAAACCTCCCGAAGAACAAATTGTACACCCAGCAACTGTTATCCAAACAGAAAATACTCTAGATAAGAAGAATTTTAATTTAGAATTGGTATCAAACAAAAGCTCTCTGAGCATTTCAGCTGACTCAACCTCTGTGATTAACAATAGGAATAAGAAAAGTCAACTGGTAGATGGCGGTGTTAAAATTAATGAAACAAAATTGGAGAGCATTGAAAATATTCAATTTTTCAATAAAAGCGAATTGCATCACGTAGAAGAGTAAGTATGAAACACACCTGACTATTATACAGGGTGTCCCTAAAAGCTCCTTACATAACTATAGCGACATTTACTAGGTATACGATTTTGGACAAAAGGGATAAGAATTTTGAACTACAATTTTGATATACCAAGGTAAAAAAATGAAGTTCCAGATGTAGATAAAGTGCTGCTGGTGGCGCCCTCTGCCATGTACATAAAAACTGTGTTCAGATTTCTATTTCTCATTCTACAAAACCCCTTAATATCATATTTCGTGCAAATTATGCTATTATATTAGGATAAATATTTACAAAAAAAGTATAAAAATAGAGTCTTTGGAAACTGACAACTTTTGGACTAAAGTAAGTTGGACTAGATCCTCATATCGATACCTTTTTTACAAATGTCATTTACGTCATGTCATAAATTTGTGCTAGAGTTATGTACAAATCTTTTAGGAACACCCTATATATGTAAATTTACTTAGGAAATTAAATTATTTACCTTGAAAAGACATTAATTCATTAACACAGTTACACTACATATATGTCTCCTCTACTCGTAAGTACAAAGTATCGTTACTGTTAATGCTTATGAGTTAATATTTTAGATATCCAATAAAAAAATCGCCAGCTACATTAGAAAAGAAGATTTCAACACCCAAACCAATAGTTCCAACCGAAGAAACTACCAATTTTCCTGAACCAACGACTTCAACGACTACAACGACTTTACGACCAAATATAGAAGAAAACACTACAAAGAAAAAGGTGGTGCCCACTAGCCCAATCTCTCAATTGGAATCCGATGTTAAAGAACCCGAATTGTCTGGAACGGAAACACAAATTAAAGTTGCCGAAGAAAAACTGTCGACTACAACTGTTCAATCAAAAATTGTAACAGAAGAGACTAAAATTGAAGCTAACAGTCTTCAAAATTCTTCCGCAGGTAATATTGTTTTATTGTAACATTTTACTTTATACTTTTTTACCTAGTTCATTCAATTAAATATTTTTCCTACGATCACTTAGGAAAGTGACACATATCACGCTATATAGTCCTATGGAAAGTGTCCTATATATCACACGCGTATGAATAAGAATTTACTTTCCACCCGTGTGCGAATATGCTACTTTCCGCATCGGCTGTCACAAAATGTCAAACGCATCATTTCTATTTTGATCTATGTAATGTCCATATTAATACTAAAATAGATATGATTGTTAAATTATTGAAATTGTTGTAAATTAGATCCTAGATCTTTAACAATAAATATTAAAATAATTTTAAAATAACTAGGTTTGTTTGCTTTTTATTCTGGTTAAACACATAACCGATCAGATCATTCAATGCACGCAAGGCTTATTAGCTCAGGTGGTAGAGTGTCAAACTCTATCAACTTTGCCATTTGAGACCTAGCGAGCGACCGCGTTCAAATACTTGCGGGGGCAGATTTTTTTTTTATTTTTATTTTTTTTTGTTTTTTTTTTGGTTAAGAAAATATGAAAATTGAAAAAATACAATTATTATTGATTGTTTTTTAAATTCATTTTACTTATTATAATATAAACCTCGTTTTACATTTCCGCATCAGCTGTCACATAATGTCGAACGCATCATTTCTATTTTGATTTATGTAATGTCCATATTAATAGTAAAATCGATATGATGAATAAATTATTAAAATTGATGTTTAAACTTAGATCCAAGATATTTATTTTTAACAATAATTATTAATATAATTTTAAAATGTCATTATCTTGCTTTTTATTCTGGTTAAATCACTGATCTGTATTATTTTACTGGATAGGATATAGGCTATATTTAACATACTAAAAAATCGTTCCACCAAGGAGACCGGAAGTGCAAAAATTCTGGCCGATTTGGGCAAAATATGGTGGGTTCACCGAACTGAAACTTGGGATAATTTGACATATCTAACCTATAATTTGATTAGTTTTTCTTCTTAATCTTCTTCTATTCCTTTTGCGGGCGATGTCCTTCGGGAAATTTCACCCATGATTTGATTTTTTATGAAAGAAAATATAAAAATGGAAACGTGAATCATATTGTGTCTTCAGGAATGAACGTTTATTGTTTATTTCATACTCTTTTTACTTTGTTTTCCACAATAAAAACATCTTATCGTAGCTTGTTGACACAATTAAATGACAAATGTAATGACAAATGGAAATAGAGGTTACGTTAAATAACATCCGGTCCGCCATATTATTTGCCCAAATCGGCCAATTTTTCGGAACGTTTTTTAGGGGGCTATATCCTATCCAGTAAAATAATACAGTTCAGTGGGTTAAATACATAATCGATTAAATAACTCATTTGACAGAAGGCGTGTTAGCTCAGAGGTTTGTGTGAAAAGTGATTTTCCACACTCGTAATGTAATATACTATATTACTGTCGTGAACTGATGTCGATTTATTTTTCTTTTTGATCCTCGTCATCCACGTAAGAGTTCCTTCCTGTTACAGGGAGGTGAGATGGACTGTATATTTGCAGAAATTTGTAGAATGTGTGATTTATGTGGTGGCCTGCCTGATAACTTGCTTTGGAATGTTGAAACTAAAATAATTAATTCTACTAACTTTGTTTATTTAACACTTAAAATTCAACATAATTTAAGTGTTCAAAATTTTACAACGAACGTGTAGGTTTGGAACATTTATTTTATTTGTTTTAAATAGAAACTACGTGTACGTAAAAGAATAAAACAAAAGGTGTTGCTCTGTTGGAGGTAGAGTTGAGTGTCGTATGGAAAGGCTACCATTTTGGTGCTACTGTTGTGATTGGTCTAGGGCACGGATCGTATGTTTGGACATTGCCTTGTAGTTGATTATTGAAAACGTGTGAGAGAGTTTACCAGCTTAAGGAAAACAGAGATAGAGTGAATTAAACATATTTGTTTTTAACGATTTATTTAAACTATACCCATACTAGAGCGACTGAAATAGATTGATACTTACATTTAAATTACTCAATATTCCCGTTAGGAAGAAAACTATATTCTGGCCAAGTAACTAATAGTAAATATGTGTAACGGTTTTAACCGTTTTCGTTATTTTGACGCAAACATCTCTACTCTAATGTAATTTATTATTTTTCTTTTGTTTATAAAGTTGATTTGATTTAAGCGTGTGTTGTCATCACCGACATGACATAACTATGCCATGGCCTATTTTAGAAACATTTTTAAAGAATCACTCTTTAGTTTACAACTAAGAACTGTTTCAAATGCTAATGTTGTTCTTGCTTTATTTTAATTAATCAACTCTTTTCAGGTTCTTTACTTTCCACCTTACTTGTTCCCGGCGGTAATCAAGCATACTTCAAGCCAACTGCAAAATCAAAAATAACAAGAGTATCCTCCCCACACGGTGGCGGTTCTAGTGCAGCCGCTCCACATGGTGCTGGTTCTAGTGCTCCGTTACTTTCAAGCTTAGAAGTATCCGATACCATAGATTATCCTCCAAATATAGAAAAACTATCTCTAGAGGAAGTTATAATGACTTCGACTGAGGAAAATAAAAACGATTGGTATTTCCAGAATTATAATAAGCAGAATTTGGAACCATTTGTAGCGAAAATTATCAACGATAATTCCGGATACGGGATTGTGGGAAATAAATTTGTGGTAGGGGTGTTGGGTATTTTTGTTATGGTGTATGGTTAATAGTTACCAAATATATAACTGTAAGTTATTGTAGTTTTTTTTTGTACAGTTGATGAGTGTGGTTTGCATGACTTCTTTCCTGACTAGATACAGAATTTTTAGTTAATATTTATTATGTGCATTAGTTTTGATAACAACTTGTTTTTTATTATAATAAAATTCCTGTGTCATGTAATGCTATTTCGACAAATTGTGTGGACTGATTGTTGTTGTTATTTTTACAATTAATTAAGAGTGAGTTTATTTTGTGTCACTGATACAGAATTTGTAGTAAAAAATGAAAATAAATGTTTATGTTAACAAACTTATGTTCGGTATATTCATGTAACAATTTGTAAAGATAACTCTTGTATAATGATTATATTAATATTTAAAGGTTTTAAATAAGGGCTTGAAGATATCACAGTTCGAAATTCCTTTTGTGACCATAATACTTTTGCTTTGGAATGAAAGCATTAGTTCCTGTTTTTCAGTTAAGCTCCATAAACCAATTCATATTTTAATCTGAACGGTACTCAAGCGCAGTAAGTTGCAACAACTAAACAATATAATGAACTTTTAAAAAGAAATTCAATTTATATTTAGAATTAAATAAGTTAGCTAAAATTTTCGACCGTATGAAGTTATTAAAATTATAAATAATTACGTTACAAAGATTCATATGTAAATTTTCTATTCTTCTATTGATGTGATAGTTACTCATCTGCAATATCAATATCCCAGGCAGCAGACTGACGACATTTTTTGGTAATTCTTGGTCATCGACGTCATGTTACCAAAAAATGAGGTGATTATGACGTCACTTCTTTAACGTCTTTTTGACGTCACAAATTCGACGTCAGTGTGACGTCAATTTATTATCACTATTAAGGTTTATATTAAACGTGATTTCAATACATTATATTTATGTAAAATAATATGACCTAAACAATTATTTTTTAAAACTGTTAGGTCTATTAACGTTTAAATCTGGCGCTTAAATGCATAAAGACTGATGACATCACGTGACACATGACTGCGTCTGTCTATTCGCGATTCAAATTAATTTTCGCGCGCCTGTCATTTGTCACGTATAAGTAGGATGTTTGTTTATTTACGTGTTGTGGGATTTTGTATTTGTGATTTTTTAACTGTTTTTAGATAATATTCTTATTATAATAGTGTTTTTGAGTTTCATTTAGTGTTAATTTAAGTTTAGTTTTCGTGCTTTCGTTATAAATGTAATTTTTCATGTGTAGTACGAACTAATTTGTTGGAAATATTGACCTATTGGTTGCTACAAGAACATCTAGAAATATGTATTTACTAAACCCAGGACATGTTTTATTATGTGGTTTAAAGGACATATCAGGTACCAAACGTTTATTATTGATGAACTTCTTTAAAAATCTTACTATCCTTATTCTTATATCATGAAGTGAATTGTGTAGTACTTTGTATACATGTAAATGGTAATAAAACCGTCACAACTCATATTGGAGTTTGATTCTAAACAACGTTTTGCAAAATTTCAATATTGTGAATTTGTAGATACCCATTTATCGTAAGAAACAGAATTTTATGACTTGCACTTGTAAAATAATGAATACTCCAGTTTTGATTTTGACAATAACACCATACAGATTGCAATTTGCTGGAGGCTTTTTCGCAGATTTCATTTTTAATTTAAATACTATCACATACTATAAGAAATAAACAAATTTAAAGCTAAAAAGTAACAAAAAACTCTAATTGTAATTGATACAAATTAAAATGTAAACAATGAACACGAACGCCAATGTTGCCAAATGATGAACTGATTTTGTCTCTGACTGATTTTAAAACTAAAATTAATAAATGAACTGATATTTAAAAAAAAAATCAATATAATAAATCGATTTTAAAAAAAAATCCTTAAATAAATAGTATGATTACATATTACTAGACACAAATTTTGATTCTTAAATAAAAGGTCTTATCCATTTCTTCAAGAACTAAAATCCGACGACGTAACGAAATTTTGCTGCTTCTGGCAACACTGAACGTCATCCTACTTATAGGGACCTTTTACTAATTTCCTCCAGAGGGCGTATCACTTAGCTTGAATCGCGAATGGTTATCGGTCTATGGAGTATGGCTCTTGTGTGTTCGAACCGTTCGAGCAAGCACGAGAACGGTATCGCAGATTGTTGCATCGGTTGTTGTAATGGTGTGTGCATCGTGGCCACATACTTTGATCACAGCTTATACAATACAGCTAAAACACTCTCTTGGCGGCAACTGTTTGTGTCGATTTCGTCGCGCATCGTTTAAGCTCCGCCTTCGAAGGGAAAAGACGGTTTTGGTGTTCAGAAGCGTACTTAGGTAAGGTGTTGAGTCGTGCGTATAATTTCGTTGATTGTATAATTTCGTGGAGCCTATAATTTCGTTGATTGTATAATTTCGTGAAGCCTATAATTTCGTTGATTTTGTTTGAGTTAAAGCTACTGTTATTATTTTGGTGACTCTTTAGCTATGAGTAGAATGAGTGAAAAAAAAAGACATCATTCTGTTTGTGCAGTCAAAAGCTGTTTTAATAAGGGTTATACCTGCAAGAAAACATTCTTTAGTTTTCCCAAGGACCCAAACCGATAAGTACCACATTATAAGAAATTTTCATTGTTAAAAATATAATTTATACAGGGTATCCCATTAGTGCGTTATTGTTCATTATTTTGTTGTAGACACGCAAGAAAGTTTTAAATAAAACTTATATGGATTTGAAAAATACCTACATATTTTAAAAATATCTTTGGATATACAGGGTGTCACGTTTTTGCCTGGCAAATTAAAATGTATGTTTTTTAAATGGAACACCTTGTATTTTATTTTATGATAAAATTATTAACACCCTAAATTATTGTAAAGACGAATTGATACAGAAAAATTTTATCAGGTATGTGTGTGGTTACCTTTTAATAAAAGCCTTGCGGATCCACTCCTCTGCGATACCTGTCTTAAATATAACAAAGATCACGTTGAATTAGATGATTTTTCTTTTTATTGCTTTTTAAAGGCATATGATAACGCCAATCCAGATACATTTGGAAATCTGCAACTGTCAAATGATGAATTTGTAGAACTAATATTCAATATTGAAAAGATATTTCAAAATAATTTTGAAGAATTGGCTACAAAAAATAACATTTGTACCACACTTTTAGAATTAATTAACCCAATACCCTTTAGTCATCCATGCTAACGTTTTCCAAAAGAATAACTTATTTTACTGTATGTTTAATCTCAATAACTAAAAAATATACTGACAATTAGTTTGACAGAATTGTCATTTATTTAAAATTTTAAAAATAATAGCAGTCGGTTGATCAAAATATGAACGGTGATTGGCGAATTTATTTTTTTTGTAGTGTTCTCACTACCTAGAATGGATATGAAATATATTCGTTCAATTGAAGGCAATAGCATACTTTTTCGTTTTGTAATCTGTGCATGGATATTAGCCAATCTATGCACATACTACAAAACGAAAAAGTATGTTATTGCGTTCAACTACGAATATATTTCATATCCATTTTAGGTAGTGAGAACACTTTAACAAAATTAAATCTACAAATCACAGTTCATATTTTGGTCACCCAACTCCTATTATTTAAATTTTTTTAAATAAGTGACAATTCTGTTAAACTAATTGTCAATATATATTTTAGTTATTGATATTAAATATACATTAAAATTTTTGTGTAGACTCGATAAATAATAGCATTTTTGTTTTTATTGTGTCCACATTTAAAAAAAAATAAATTTTAATCAAACTACACCGCCTATAATAAAACAGCAGTCTTCTGCGTATCCTGAATTTGTATCCCTGGAGTGGATGTTATTTTGGAACTTTCAACTGGTCCGAGTGAGCTAACTGATTCTTTAGCAATAAACTGTGACTTCAAAAATAATATTCACTGACACTGACAGCAGCAAGCAAAATATCAGGTGCGTTTTAATCATCCGCTTCTGCTTCCGGAATTGTCGGTTTAGTCGTTTTAACCTGTCAGATTAAAACAAGAAAACCGACAATTCCGAAGCAGAAGCGGATGATTAAAACGCACCTATTAAAAATATTGCGCCAAGATGTAGGCAACACGTAATAAGGGTTCAAAATGGCGGTGTTTTCTATCTCCTTTTAAAAGGCACTCAGAAAGCTGCGCAGTGCGACCATTCTCCGTATAGTAAAAGAAAATCAAAGTATGTGATCGTGGCCCGTGTGCATTCAGGATTGTTGTTAAAAGTTAAGAGGGTCAGTGAAAAAAGTTATATCAGTATCAACCCAGCATAAGGTATTTTTATATCTATATTATCCTTATTCTTTAATGATTTTATATCTTTTACATTCATAGGATGTTTCCTAAAATGTTCCCAGGTTCGTGAAATAGTATAAAATGGCGGCACTCAGAAAAATCATTGTGCCAAACCAAAATAATAACGAACAAGTTGGCCACATTTGGAGCAGTTGGATTTATATAAATTAATATTTTTTGCCAATAACATTTCATGTATTTAAACTTTTTTTCTTTTTAATTATAATTATTTCATTTTCTAATTTTGTTTTATTAAGTGACCCGCAGTTCCTATAGAAAAGTTACAAAGGAGTAACAATATCAAATGTAACGTCATGGTGACGTCTCAAATAAGTATAAAGAATAACGACAAAGGTGACATTAAAACGTCATTAACACGTCATATTTAGACGTGAAAAGGGCGTCTAAATATGACGTCATTTAGGCTGTGACATATTCACGTCATTTTACCGTCATTATCACGTTAGTTTTCAGAGGATAAATGACGTCCTGTATGACGAAAATAAGATGTCATAATGACGTCAGTCTGCTGCCTGGGATATTGCTTGGCTTTGGCACAAAACCTTTAATAGTAAAATTACTAATCCGAATCAGAATATTGATATTATTGTGAACTTAAAAACGTGGTCCATTGGTTAAAATATTTGGTATAATAATTATATATCATCAATTTCCACTGCCACTGGTAAAATCTAAA